CTTTTCTAGATCCCACCATTTATGGCCAGCTTCTTTCTCTGCCCATTCAGATATCCTTTCCTCAAACCTTGTAGTCAAGAGAGAACAGGTCCCTTGTTTGTTTTGTTACAAAAACAAAAACAAACAAAAAAAACCCACCTTGGTCAGAGTGTGGGAGAGTTCCCTGTGAGAGACAACTCCCTCACCCACTGGGAGCTGGCAAGCTTAGCCTGCAAGCATCGGGACCCAGAACATTCTGCTCAGCAAGGAGAAGCTGGGTAAAGGGCAGGGCAGTTGGTATCACAGCATCAGGCCAAGGCTAGCATGGCTGAGCAGGGTGCATTCCTGTCATTATTTGTCCCAGGTGGGGCGCTGGCCGAGACTGGAGGCCCCAACCCTAATTTTAGATGTGAGAATATGCTGTGAAAATATGCTGCCTGTCCACCTGTACCCTTCTCACAGACTAGTTTTCCCCTGCTCTGGGCAGGGGGTGAGTCACAAGAATGGCCCTCGAATTGATTCCCTTCCTCTATGCCTCCGCATAGGCCGATCGCTGGACCTCAGTCCTTCCAGCCTTATTGGGCCACTACTGCGAGTAGCAAGCTACTACTCCAGGTGGCCGGAGGGTTCTGGTAGGAGCAGCCTCTTTTCCAGGGGGGCTGAGCTGGTTTTGTGAGGTGGAGCTATAGTACGTGATGTTATTTTTCTGGGGCGGGAGGCAATATGGCAAGATATTAAGAACTTGGCTCACAAGGCAAATAATTGTCGTATGTCCAGCCAGAAACTCCAGGAATGTTCCAGACTTTTTTTCCTTCGTATTTTCCCTCAAATATGTACCGAGCCTTCCTTGGTCTTGGGTCTTACCTGAACCAAGTGCTCAAATCCTCCTGACACCCTATGGGGGCAGAAGTAATATTCCAACTCTGCAGACAGGGAACTGAGCTGAGAGGGAGGCCACCCTTCTTGGCCGGCTCAGGGACGAATGCCCTTGGCCACGCCCCTTCACTGCCTCCCAGGTCACAAAGTCTAGTCCTGTCTACTCAGCCTCTTGTCAGGCCTGCCTGGCGTCCCTACCCTGGCCCAGTGGGCAGCCTACAGGCTCTGCTTCTTAGTAGAGATAAGCTTTATTTTTTTCTGAAAGAATTCAGGCCCCTAGAAGCTTCGGAGACTTCTCTCCATGGCAAAGAGAGCAATCTAGTTTTCCTCATCTGAGACTTACCTACTAGGTGGCCTGTTTCCTTGATGTTCCTCATGCAGCTCTTAGAGCCTTTGGCACAGGGAAAATCTATGGAAGTTTGGCCAGCAGCCTCTTGTGTTTGGGGAAGTAGCAGAGGCTTCTAGAGGGAGAGCCAGGTGTGAAGAAGGCATTGAGGCTGTGCCCATGGAAAAGCTGTTCTGCCATGTGCTGCGGCCATCATGTCCTGTGCCACCACAGACCCAGAGAAACAGGGCCCAAAGACCATCATGCACTGGGGCCTTGGACACAGTGAGCCAAGACCACCCTTTTTCTATATGCAGTTGATGATCATCTTGGGTGTTTGGTTACAGTGTCAAAAAGGACACACGCCAGCATGGCTGCAATTGAGATCAAGTGTAAGAGATCAAGTGTAAGTGTAAGGCCATTCTCCCAGCAGCCTTGGCATCCCCCAAGCATGCATAGTTCTTCCCGTTTGGCATCTGTGTGTAAATCAGACCTCTCTATGGTTCCCCCAGTGAGACTGGTATCGTGCATATACGCACTCACCTACCTAAGACAGAGGAGAGAGGACCTAGCCGGGAACCCTTGTGTCTGCCTCCAGCACCCCAGCACTGCATGCGGTGGCCATGGAACAAAGGCCACTGCACACGGTAGACACAGAACAAAGGCCACTAGATTGTAAACTTTCAATCTGTTTTTTTCAAATTGTGTTATTTTAAATGTTCTGGGCGGGTGCCCACGTGTGCAGGGACACTTAGCCAGGCCAGAGGCGCTTTGTCTCTTTGAAAAGCCTCCATTGTGACCCCACAGTGGCCCCAATTGATTCTGGGAACAACAGGCCCTTGTGTAGCCCCAAAGGCATGCTTGCTCCAGCCCACGGCTGGCAGTGTGAACCCTTCGCTGTCTCTTTAAGGCCCGTGCGGGGAAGATTTCAACCTTCCACAGGGACTGCTGCGCCAAGACAGTCTGATTTCAGAGGGTGCCCTCGCAGATGTCTTTACAAGGCTCAGCTCCTAGGAAGTGGTCCCTGACAGGCTGGTCTGATTGGACCTACTGTGTGCAGCATGGAATGCCGGAGGTTGACCTCCAGGGGAAAAAAAAGCTGCATGTGATGAAGGCCTTCCTATATACCTTGCCCTCGTGAGGGAAGATAACCAGAAAGAGAATCAAAGGCAGAGAAGTTACAGGTGGGAGCACCAATGTCCCAGGTGGACTTGGCACATGCTGCCTTTTGCTGTGGGCCTGGGCCTGGGCCTGGTGTTCACGCTCCACCCCCCCCCCCCACATTGGCCAGCCATTCCCAGACACCAGCCCCCCCGGAGTTGCCTCTGGGGCTGCCAAAGGCTAGAGGGGAGGGGGATGGCACTGGCTCACCACCTCACTGGCAGGTCCATGTCAGGCTGGAGGGTCTCACACAGCTGTCCCAAATGCCCAGCTGTATCCCGGAAGCCCCTGTCAATTTGCACGTGGCCACCACTGGGACCCCACTCTGTCGTTTCTTGAGCTTCTGGGCAACAGACTTCATGAAGCTAAGTCGGCTGGAGCTGCCCAGAGCCGGACCCTGTTCACTCATGCAGTCATAGTTATGGCTCCTTTTGGCACCTGCCAAGCACTGAGTGTTCCCGTGGGCCCGTGGGGGCTGATCAGGGGAGGAGGAGGCTGAGCAGCAGCCCCCTCAGCCCAGCCATGGCCCCTCATGTGAGGTGGAGGGGAGTGGTCCTTCTTTCAGCTGGCCCTACCTTTGGTGGGTACCCCAGTGGGGACCCTGGCTTGGTGTGTTCTGCCAGCTGGCTGCTTCTTGATCATTCCTAAGGGTCAGGGAGTGGGGGAGGGAGAGATTTTGTTTATTCTTTGTGATGGCAGAGTGCTTCTGTGTTTGCGTGTGTGTGTGTGTGTGTGTGTGTGTGTGTGTGTGTACGCTCGCAGGGCGGGAAACAGGGCTTAAGTATCCCAGGCTGCCCTTGAACTCTCTATGTAGCCAAGGATGAGCATGAACTTTCAGTGATCCTGCCTGTCTGAGTGATAGGCTTACAGGAGTGTGCCACCGTTCATTGTTTATGTGGTGCTGACCAAGGGGACAGACTCAAGGGCTCCAAGCACGCTACCAGCTGGGTCACAGCCCCAGGCCCCATGCTTTGAGGTTTTTCTTCTTTAAGAATACCCCGTTCTTCATCTCCTTTGCACAGTGTCCACTGGACTGGGCCAGCTTTTGGCTCTGTGGGCTGCAAAGGGAACCTAGGAGACATCTAAGCTGTTGCTGGGGTAATGTAGCAGTTCAGAGCAGCCAGCTTTCCCTGAGAAGTTGACTGAGACCACAACCTATACCCCATTCACGTCCCTTGCTTCAGACCTTGCTCCTAATGCCCAGCCTCATCCCCCACTACAGGCCTCTGCTCACTACTGCCATGTCATGGCTCTCACTTTCACTTCCCTGCATAAAAACTGTCTTCGTGCCCTAGGAGTGGAGTCAAGCTCAGGGCCCAGGACCAGACGGGTCGGTCCAGATCCCTCTGCCACCACTGTGTGGGTCTTCACCTGTGGAATAATATGGAGGCCATCAGTCACCTGTGGCTACCGGTGGGGGGGGCAGGAGACCATACTGATTTATGGAAGGTGCTTTCAGGGGGTGCCTGGCCCCAAGCGAGGGCTCCAAAGATGACCAGCAAGATGGCTCTACAGGTGGGAACTGGGATGTAATATTCAGCTAACCAAGAATGTTTTCTTGCCTTTGGCTTTTGGTTAGGAAAACACAAAGGGATTTCCCAGAAGAGCTTTCCTCTTGTCCAAGACCCCGATGCAATTGTGTGCCGTGTGATCGAGAGGCTTTGTGGGCTGAACATCAACCATCACTGAGGACCGAATGGGGTCACACACAGGTGCTTGGCTGCTGCCTGTAGATAACCTCTGTTAGGCTCTTCCCAGTAGCTTCTCCATGCTGCTGCTCTTAGGTATGGTGGATTCCCAGGAAGGAAGACCCCAGTAGGTCTGGCTGCTATCAGCAGACCCTTATACTTGCAAACGTTGGGCTCTGGGAGGAGTGAGGAATGGGCGGAAAGCAGGTTAGGGTGCTGGGAATCTGGGGGAGAGGAAAACATGGTAATTTCATTAGAGTTCCAACACTGTCTTACGATTCAAATGGGAAATGAAAATTGCAAACTTTAGAAGTAGTTAGCATGTTAATGCAGGAACTCTTAACTGGTCAAAGTGCTGAGAATAAGTGACTGCTGAATGCTTAGCCCCAAATGGGGCATCTATGTCAACATCTTCACCCCCACCCCACCGTGTGACTCAGGGAACGGAGGGGAGGGGGGAACTGTAAGAGGCAGAGGGTGGGGAAGAGTGATATGCATGCTGACTTCTGGATGTGACGTGGCTTTTGCACTAACAAACTCAGTGCAGCTATGGTTAAGACCTACCCAGGAGCCAGCCAGCAAGATCAGCCAACATTCCATCAGGTAGCATCAACTGGACTGGATGTGTTAAAAAGGGGCGGGCAGGGGGTGTGTTGGGAGTGGAAGGGAGGAGTTGGGGATGGATAGGATCAAGATACATTGTATACGTATATGAAACTGTCAAAGAAGAAAAAGAATTTTAAAAAAGGAGGAGGAGGAGGAAAAGGAGGAGCAGCAGGAGGAAGAGGAGGAGGAGGAGGAGGAGGAGGAGGAGGAGGAGGAGGAGGAGGAGGAAAAGCAACAGCAGCTGTTGCTGCAAAGTTTAACAGATCCAGGACAGAAAGGATGAGAGTTGTCAGGAACCATCCTAAAGGTCTTTAATCCTGGTTTCTGTAGGTACAAGAATTTGCAACAAGAGAGAAAGATTGTATGAAAGTTTCTTTTAATGATTAAAAATCTGAAACATTGAGAAACCCTTGGGGAATTCATTTAGTCGTCTTTACTTCGTTCGTTCGTTCCTTCCTTCCTCCATCTCTTTTCCCTCCTGTCAAGAAGCGATCCTCATTCATGCAGAGTTGCTTGTTAGTGTCATGTTACAGTGCAGTGTTGTTGAGAATTTAAGACCACCCAGTCAGCACTCAGTTACAGATATGTTAAACATTACAATGAACCTCCTATCACCTCTTAGTTTGTATTTTAATTTTTAAAAACAAATCCCCAACCTAATCTTTTGCTTGTGTTTTACCATGAAATTCTGCCTGTGGTTAAGTCAGCAAATGGCAGATTTGGGTACCACTGATACTGGGATAACAAAAGTCCTCGTGGATGTGCCATTGAGACCCAATTTGGGGCTGAGGATGGGATTCAGCAGCAGAGTGCTTACCCAGCATGCACAGGCTCTGGGCTCTATCCTCAGAACCAAGGTAGAAAAAAACAAAACAAAACAAAACAAAACAAAACAAAAACCCAAATCCAATTCAAGTGTGGGATTCATCTCTTATTTTGTTGGAGAATAAAACATCCGCTAGTTAAACCTGACCGAGGCTAGAATCCTGGCTCTCCGGGAGGCTGGCAGGAAATCCCTGCATCTGGGGCTCCATCTCTATGATGTCACTCAGGTCTTTAAGATGTAGGGTCAAGGTGAGATCTCCTAGCAGAAAGTCTGACTTTCCAGATTATTCATGTCCTACCTAATTATACTTTCTCTTTTCAGGTCAGCTGGAATGTGGCAGCCAAAGATAGCCATTGTCTCCCCCCTTCACTCTGCAGTCAGTTCCCTTTTCTCTGTGGGAAGGGTTGTCCACACCTAGTTTTTTCAGGGGCCTGAGAAAACTCTGATTTTGCAGACTACTGTGTCTTGAAAGAGAAAGGTGGAGGCTCTTGGGATATTCCCAAAAAGGGGACAAGGGAGACGCTATCCTGGCAGACTTTTCTGTGAGGGTAAGGTCTCCAGTGAGTCACTCCGGGAAAGAGTGGCCCAGCACACACATCTGAATTGTCCCTTGAGATTCAGGTTAAGCCAAGGGATTCTGCAGGAAGAAAGCTGATAGGAAGGTATCCCTGGTCCCAGAGAATGGAAAACAATCCCTCCAGCTCTTCACCCTGAAGCATGAGACATAAAGACATTTAATGAAGGATTTCAAAGGGGCTCATCTTCCACCATGCAATCTGGAGACCTCTGCTGGGGAAATTTCAGTGCCTGAGATACTCAGGCTATCCATAAAGACTGAGACATGCTAGGGGATGAGTGTTAAAAAGAGCCTGTGGAAAATTCCAAAAGGAAATTCTTAGAACGTGCTCCAAGGGTGAAGGGGAAATCGTCATTTCTTCAGATCAAGGTTCCCAGTTCCCACCCACTGTCCCTGTCAAGGGCAGACAGGGTCCCCTGGCAAGACAGCTCCTTCCTCCCTCAGCTGGAGGTTAAACATAGCAAGGTCTAACCCCTCGGCAGAAGGTAAACATGACACCCAAGAGAAATGAAACATAGCTCCCTTTTGTTTTTGTTTTGTTTGCTTTCTGGCTTGTTTTCTTCTCTCCGCCATTGAGTCTGTGTTCTAGGAAGTTAATGGGGGAAGATGGGCTGATCGGTTAATGCTGTCTGGGTCTCCAGCTGCCGATCCGCTTCCCTATGAAGACTTCCACCTGATTAAGGAGAACACGGCATGGACCACGTAGAGCAGAGTGGCCACGTAGGCAAACACCTGGAATGAGAAGGAAAGTCATCAGGGAGGTCATGGGGGGGGGGGCATGGGGCTATGGCAGCTGTCACGTGGTACCGGAGGGCATATTCAGGGAGTGTGGCCTGCCACTGCTTCCTGGAACCCACGAGTGAGCCCGGATTCCCAGGTCTAACCTTGCTGCTGTGCTGTTGGTGTGCAAACACTCCCCATCCCACTATGGTCATCTGACCTTACCGGTGTCGTCAAAGTCCTCTGCGACAGAAGTGTCACAGCCGCGTGTCCGTGACTCTGGAAAACCTCCTTCTCTACACCAGTAAGACCAAGACCAGTACTATGCTGTGATCTCAGAAGCTGGGCTATGATATTATGTATGCCTGGGTTCACTGCGTCTGGTTAAGTCCTCCGTGCTCTCTGTACATGAGCAGACCCTTTATCTTAAAAAAAAAAAGTGATTGTGGTGCATGCGTGTGCGTGTGTGCACATGTGTGTGTGCGCGTGTGGGGTACAGTGTAGGCCAGAGAAGGGCATCTGATGTTCTCCTCTGTAAGAGTCTCTGCTTTTTATGTTTGAGGCAGGGTGCCTCTGTGAGCCAGAGCTTGCAGTTTATAGCCTGCTGACAGCTACTGGTTGCTAGTGGTCCTCCGGTCTTTGCCCACTGACTGCGAGGGTTTCACAGCATTTGAAGGACGTCCGCCTTGTTATGTGGCTCTGGAGTCTCACACCTATACAACAGGATCTCTTAATCACGGGGGCATCTTTCCATCTCATACCCTTCTTCTTAATCCTGGATTCTTCATCTCCCAGACACAGTTGAGGTAACCAGGCTTCATGGCAGAGGACGGGGGACACCTCGCTTCTGTCAAGCACCGAGAAGCTGCTGAGGTGCCCATCACTTTGGCAGTGGGAACATAGGCCCCGGGCTGTCACCCATGACTTGTGCTCCTTTGGGCTCTGTGTGCCCCCATCACCCTACTCTGGGTGGCTGACCTCCTTAAAGGCTTGGCTACCCCAAATCCAATACTCGCACCTGGTTCTGTGACCTTCCTCGGGCAAGGGGTCAAGAGTTTCCAGCTCAGGCATGACATTTAGGGCTGCCACGCTTCTGTGAGTCTTGGAAATGCTCATAAACAGCAGTCATGGTGCTCAAGCATGGGAGAAGGCTCCACCCACATTGGCCAGAGGCGATGTGTAACCTGAGTTAGTTAGTGACAAATTTCTGAGAACTGGGAAACTCCTAACTACCCAAGTCACCTGCCCCCCTCAGGTTGGACTTCCAGGCCCAAGGAGATCCCTTGGCAGAAGCACCTCAGGAGTTCTAGAAGGGACCGGTGAGTAAAGATTTAGTTTGCAAATGAGATTTGGAAACATCACACAAGGGAGATTTAGGGACATGCTGAGACGTTTTGAACTTCAGAGACTTTTCCCTGTGAACTTCTGCCACGGTTGTCCACCATAGTGAGATCTACGCGTCTCCAGATCTCTTCTTTGTCAACTTCTGTCAACCCCAGAAGTTTTTTGTTTTTTTTTTGTTTTGTTTTTTGGCAAAGGAGCTCCACTCACTGCCACCAAAGGTAAGAGTGAAGAAGCTGTGCCTTTGAAACAGGGCCTATCACCTCAGAGGTGAACCTGAGGCAGGCTGGCTGGTGTGTGAGAGGCTCAAAGATCGGGTGTTAATTCCTGAGTAAGGATGATGCCTCCTCCCCACGTACCATATATCCAGAGGATATTGTGAATGGAAATAGCTCTACTTTGAGCCTGATTCACAGATCACTTACCTGCGGAATGAGAACACTCTTTGATTTTTGATTTTAGCATACCGGACTTGGACTGGGCGTGTGCATGTCTATCCAAGTCCAATAAGAAAATCCGGGGACAGAAAAAATCTTTGGAGTGGATGAGTAGACGTTGGTTGTGGAAAGCCTACAATGGATTCTGTACAGCAGCAAAATAAGCAGTCTCTATCTACAGCCAGCCACTCGAATGAATCTTACATATGTAAGGTTGAGAGAGAGAAGCCAGGCATAAAAGAACGAGCCTCGCATCGTTCCACTTCAAGAAGCGGGCGAAACTGAACTGGGCTCACCCCCTCCCTTCTGTCTGTAGCAGTGCTGAGGATTGACTCCAAAGCCTCGCACATTCCAGACAAATGCTCTACCACTGACATACACCTCAAGGCTTATGTCCTAGTTCTTAAAAAGAAAAACAAAACTAATTTATTGAAAATAAAACATCTGTGTTTCTGTAGGTGGGTATGTGCGCGTGCGTGCGGTGCCCATGGAGGGAGCTGGACATTCTGGACCTTGGGCTATAGGTAGTTGTGAGCAACAAGATGTGCATGCTGGGAACAACTCTGTGGGAGCAGTACTCTTTCTTGCCTGCTGAGCCGTCTCTTCGGCCCCATGTATCTTATCTTATCTCAGAAGGCTTCTTTGCTAGGAAGCAGCACTCCAATGAGCAGATAAAACAGTCCTTATAGATGGAGGCAGAGAGGGTGGATCACTGGCCTGGGGGAAGAAGGCACAAGCTAGGTGCTGCCTGGCTGTGATGCTGTTTGGAAACTCCATGTTGGGAACTGTTCCATGATGTAGGACAATCAAAGAGGGTAGTGACATGAAGGTGGCCATTCATAGAAGTCACTTAAGGGGACATGCAGCTTCTCTAGGGTTGCATGGCATCCCGTAAGGATGATGCTTTGAGGAACCCAGGAAGGAGCATGATGTTAAACACCCATCCCTGTGGATTGCGTGCATCTCGTCAGCTCGTTCTACTGGGCTCTGCCTGATTTGCAGGCTAATTTCTAGAAATCTGGGGAGCACTATTTCTACCTTTTGTTCCTCATTTTTCGCTACAACCCACGGTTAGAAATAAGTTTTATGCTGAGGACGCTGAATAGTGCATCAGTCAATACACCGCTCCAAGGGCACCACTGCCTGCCTCAGTGGACAACACTCAAGGAGGGTATGAGATCCAAGTGGCCCAACTCGCTGTTTGAAACTGGCACTAGAAGCCCGCACGGTGGCCAAAACCCTGGCTTTGGCACTTGCCAGTCTTGGGAATGAATCCAGGCTGCCTCTCCGTCTGTGAGGTGAGTGTGACTACAACAATGGCCTCACAGGATTGCTGTGAGGGCCAGATAAGATCACACGTCTTGCCCATTCACAGCTAGTCTGACACAAGCCCCTGAGCCCCCTGAACCTTGGAGCATGCAATCCTGAGAGACCAGCTAAGGGAACCACGGCCCATCCTGTCCCTTTCTCTGAGCCTCACTGCTTCACAAACGAGGGGAAGGTTTGACTTCACTGGGCTGGATGATCTCCACCGGGAGCCTTGCAGCAGAGCGCTGCCCTCTCTGGGCCCTGTGGGTGCAGGGCTGAGGGAACTTACCACTGCGGAGATGTTTTCATGGTACTGCTTGTAGGTATAGCCATCGTACATTAAGATGGTGGCCAGGGCTTCCAGAACTGAGGCACTGAGGTAAAACAGGGCAGCCACGCAGTGATAGGCTGCATCCTGTGGGTGAGGAGGGTTGTGTCAGAGACGAGGAGAGAGAGAGAGAGACATCCCAACACAGACAAGGAGACAAAGCCCTTGAATCAACTGCTCCCATCATTGTCCCTGACGACTCCCTTTGAACCACACCCGTAACACAGAAGATCACCAGCTTCTCCCAGAGGATATGACAGCCACCGTTGAGTTTCCTTTCCCAGGGCAGATCCCATAGTGAGTGTTTTAGTGGAAGAAGATGCTGTTTTCCCTGAGGTACTACCAAGGGAATGTTTGAGGTGTGTGCTGATTACTCTTCATTACTAACTTAACAGGATTAAAAACTTCTAGGAAAGACACCCCTGGGTGTGTCTCTAAGGGTGTTTCCACAGAGGCTTAACTTTCCACTCTGACTCACTCTGAATAAGAATGGCACCATCCCAAGGGCTGGGGTCCCCTTCCTTCCCTGGAGGAAGACCAAGCTAACTGACTGAAAGCACGAGAGCGTTCTTGTCCATCCTTCTGCTTTCTGATTACTGACTCACATGATAGCATCTCACCTCCTCTGCAGCTCGTCCTTTCCCACCATGACGGACCGTTAGCCGAATGAACCCTTCTGTATGGACTGTACCCACTAACTGTGAGCGCAAAGAATCCTTCTGTAAACTGCTCTCTATCAGGTACTTTCCCATAGCAACAAGAAACAGAACAAACACAGGATAACAGGTAGAAAGAAACTGGCTCTGGACCCCAAGGCCAATTACACATGGTGTTACAGTCCCAGCTTGGAGGTTCGCTCTTTGTTCAGTCCAAGGAGAGAGAAGCCTGGGCCATTCCCATTGTTTTCATTTTGTTGTGTTGGGTCTTATTTATTGACTTTGGCTCCTGGTATATTTCAAAGCGAAAAAAAGGAACTGAGACAAAGTTCTGTGTGGTTGTGATTTCAAAAGTTCAAGTTGAAAGGCCATGGAGAGGCAGCAGCCTAGCCAAGTGGCCTGGACCTTCCTTAGTTAGTTATCAAGCAAGTCCCCCTCATGTTTATTTGAGACCTGTCTCCAGGACCTCAAAGCAGAACTTACTACAAAAGAAAGAACACAGGCCATTTTGGCCCCCCAGTCTTCTGGAAAGCTTAGACAGTAGTCGCCACAGAGCCAGGCGGAAGGCATGATCTGGCCTCTGGGGAGACATCAGCTTAGGCCCAGCCTTCAGGACTCTGCTCCCAGGGTGACTCCCACGGTGGGAGTAGCTGACAGCTGGCCATGCCTGAAAAGGCATTCCACAGATAAGAAAGCAGAGCAACCAGGAGAAACTGCAACAAGCACACGGACCCTGCCTCTCCCTTCTGACCTCCTTGATGCGAGAAGCCCTTACTGCTACGAAGAGTCTGAACCAAGGTCCGGCTAACTCAGCTTTGGATTGTGCTGGAAAACGTTTCCAGGGAACCCCCATTCCGGGTTGGAAAAGCTGTCTTCCAGTGATGAGGTTCCAACATACACAAATTCCCTGGGCCGGCACTCACCAGTGTGATCCAGGAAGTCTCACCGCCGTGAGTACCAATTATGTACATGACCATCAGGGCAGTGGTGACCACGAAGCAGAACACAGACACGAACATCACCCAGCCCTGGATCAGGGGCATGGGCACTAGGGAGGAGGCGATCAGGATCCACACCAGGCCTCCAAAGATCTGCAGGGAGGAGGCGGAGAGAAGGTGTTGGGACAGGGTGAAATAAAGGTTCACAAGGGGTCCAGCCCTACTCCTAGCCCTAGTTCTGGGATGCTGGAGTTGCAGGCAGGGTCCAAAGAGGGTGGGCATGAGCCTCACCAAAAACATCTCTCTTATCCTCCAGTGTCACAGGCTAGAGCTCCAGTCTCACCTACTGGCTTACTTTGTTTCATTTCTTAATTTACAAGGTTTTTTTTTTTTTTTTAATTTAATAAACATTGTATCACAGCTGGGCTTTATCTTAAGCACCTCACAGATACTCAGACTGTAGCAGTTAAGAGATGGTTTTAGGTTATCAATGGGTAAACTTACTAGCTGCACTACATTATTGGCAACACCTTCCCCCCAGACCCCAAGTCTTACAGCCCCAAGTGTAGGAACTTCTCTGACTGGAGGGGAGAGGTCACAGGTCAGCCTTTCGTTTTCAGGTGGCTGAGAACAAGATGTGAGAGAAACACACCTCAGGGAGAGCAAAAATATAGTGCCGTGAAGGTCCCCAGGGTGGAGAATTCCCATTCTCAGAGAGGAGCAAAAGAGGTTCTGGAAGGCCCCCCCCCATGGCCCAGCCACATGAGCCTCCCTGGGGTTTTCTCTACTTCTCTCTGACCCTCTTCAGTTCAAGCCTTACCCCTCCCTCTCTCTCTCTCTCTCTCTCTCTCTCTCTCTCTCACACACACACACACACACACACACACACACACACACTGAGGACAGGGTTGAGTCCTGTGGAGTCAAAAGTCTGGAGAGCACTGTGGTAGAACAGGGCACCTCTGTCTGAGCATCTGGGGCTGAGGACAGGCAGCGTTCCCAGCCCTGTGCAACAGGCCACATGGCACCTGCCCTTAGGAGGCATGAGATTACAGCATGGGAAAATGCAAAGGTCAGTTGGGTCTGTCCATCTTGTCAGCAAAGACAAGCACCAGTGTGGGATATTTCTCTCCTGTGTGCCCTTGGTCTGGTCACCTTCTAACCATCCGGGTTCAATCAGAGTCAAGCTACTTGTCTGCATGCAAGTGAATCCCATATATCTCTGCAGCCCTTGGCCTCAACATAAGGGCGCCTGGCTGAAGGCGCTTTGTCTGATGAGATGGTTTGGGGAGTAACGTCTGCCTTGATCACAGAAGCTGGCTCCCTGAAGGGTACCAGGAGAGCCCCCCCCATCTCCCATATAGCCATCCTTCAGCTACACTAGTTAAATGGCTGTGTCAACCTAGAGAGACTTAGGAACAAAACCATCACAGGAGCAGCTTAGGTTGCCTGTGTATGGGCGAACACTACTCTGTACAATCTATGTGAAACCCTGTGGGCCAGAAGTGCTTATGGGTGGCTCGTAGGCTTGGCCTTGAAGGACACTGAGTGCCACAGAAGAAAATTATCTCTTTCAGTCCCGTCCATTCTCCTGACTCCTGCCGAAGGGCCGAGTGGATCAAGGCATTCAGATCTCCCTCAGCATAGCCAGCAAAGGTGGACGGGTGGTGACCTATGTTTCACGTTTACCGTATTTATATCATTACTTTTATGGCAAACAAACTCTAAAATGTGTAAGTTAAGCTAGTGTGCAATGGGCACCTGCAAATGGCTGACTTTGAAATGGCTTTCGGTTCCTGGTCTGCAGCAGGGGGGCTTGTATTTTATGCACTTTATATTACCCCTTTCAACTCTGCACTCCGCTGTGGGGCTGTACACAGGAACTGTGATCAGAGGTCAAGGGCGGGGCCGCAGGCAAGTCAGAGTGAAATAACACAGGGTTGCCAAGGTCTTCCTAGATGCCAGCACTGAGCTGGCTCTGAGCTTCTGGCGGATGCCAGACTGATTCAGGCTGCTTGAGTGCTTTCATCACTCTGCTGGAGACTCTCATGGTTTCCGTTCCCTGTGCCTGGATGCAGAAACACACACACACACACACACACACACACACACACACACACACACGGATACACGCTTATATACTCACTCACAGAGACAGACTGTGAGACACAAAGACAGAAAGAGAGACGTTATTGTTTCCCAGAGTCCAGTCAGAACCCTTGTCGTCCACACCTGTCCAAAGAACAAAGCCCATCCTGTCCCTAAGTCCAGTCTTCAGCCCCTGACAGTCCGCAGGACCTGCCTCTGAGTATGCCATCTTGTAAACTGGCACTTTTGAAAATTAGATGTCCCCCTCTACTCTTTGAATGGCATAAACGGAAGTAGGTTTTACAGTGAGATACTCGGAGGAAATTCTCTCTGTCTGGCTCCCTCCCTTTCTTTCTCTCTGTTCAGTTTTTGAGACAGAGTCTCTCACTGTAGCACAGGCTAGCCTAGAACTATTTAACTTCAGTTGGCTTCTAACTCATATCAACTATCCTATCTCCACTCCCTGAGTGTTGGGATTACAGGCCCGAGCCATCATGTCCAGCTCTTTTTATAACACTGTTAATGAGATGCAACTCACGTGTGGTACAATTCATGCACCAAAGACCCACACTTCAATGGTGTTTAATAGATTCATACATGCAAATAGTTCAATATATACAAACTACCACCACCATAGCCAATTTCAGATTACCTTCATAAGCTCAACACTCCATAATCAGCAGCCATTTCTATTTAGCATAATGGCTTCAAGGTGAATACACCTCTTCTAGGGGGAAACCTGGAGAACAACTGTATCATCACAGTCCTCTGCAGTCCCTTGTGAGGTGTCAGAAAGCCACAGCTGTCACTACTCCTCGGGTGAGTTGGCTGTGGTCCTGATGGTATGCATCAAGCTTATCAAACACCATCGGGATTTACCAAACCCCTAGGGACCTTCTCCTATCAGTTTCCTGTTTACGTTACACCTCAGTTTGGGGGCTAGTGACTTTGAAGACATTATTGCAAGCCCTAGCTTTTGCCAATCCCTTGCCCATCATTGCCTGGCTTATGAGGTGGGGAGCAGAGAATGGAATGCAGGGATGTATTGTCCTGGGATGGAGCAGGGGTGAGAGTGGGAAGGAAGCTGTGAGGGTGTTTAAGTAGCATCAGAGGGACTATGGGGCAGATGGCTGAGAAGACAAGGCAGATGAGGGGAACAGAGCCAAGGACGGACTGTGTTTCCAGATAGCATCTCTGAAGCTTGGCTTCACCAGGGGCTTCAGTTTTGGAGAGTGGCCCTTTGCTCCTATCAGTTCCAGTTCGAAAGCTCCTCACTGACAGTTTAGCAGTTGTGGGGAGTAAAGACTTCCAAAGCCATGGATTTAACCAACTGCAGATTTAAAAATGTTTGGAGAATCCAGCCGTATTGGTGGGTACCTGAAACCGCAGCACTCAGGAAGCTGAGGAAGGTTTATATGAATTAGAGTCCAGACTAAACCACAAAGTGAGATCCTGTCTCAAAAATTATAATGAAAGTATTTGGGGGGGGGAACCTCTGCATCTGAACTGGAAATAGTTTAGATTACTTTTTTCTGGTCCATATGAAGGCTAATAGGGGGCTCTGGGCAGCTGAGCATGGCTTCCACAGTGCCATAGAGGGAGAGGTGGACTTGAATGGTTAAGATGGACATGGGGCCAGGTGGGAAGCAGGGACTATGCTACAGAAGGGAATGCTGAGCAGCTTCCGGGGCTCCGGAGGGTGGGGAAGCCAGGCACCGTGTGGCAGAAGGCGGGCTGGAGGAAGGGTGAGCCATGGAGAACATGAATCACGGGGGCCTGAGCATGTTTGTGCCCCACTCCACCTTCACGTTGTACAGAGGGCAAACAGAGAGAGCAAGCAGGGCGCCCACACCACAGAGATAAGGCGCTCCTGGGCCATGAGCAATCCTCCCAGGCCTGGCTTCAGGACCCTACTGGCCAAATATTTGTCAAGAGCAAGAGGGTAGGTGAGGGTTCAGAAGTGTTTCCCTTTGTAATGAAAACTCTAGGTGTCTTTCAGCTTTCAGGCTTCAAACATGCCGAGGTGATTAATTAAAACAAAGCAAAACATCATACAGCCAGGTGGTGTGGGCCTGGGGTCTGCTCATGCTAAAGCTAGGCTTTCCCCACCACACCTCTATTCCATCGCAGCAGAGACAGCAGAGTAGCTGCCAACATTGGTCTCAAATAAAGCTCTTCAAGTTGCTGTCCCAGGAGCTACACAGATTGACCAGTCTCTCTGGAGCCCAGCACTCCAAGTTGAAAAGTAGGGGTAGAACCTGGATTGATGCTATGGGGTCCTAAGCTCTGAGTAGGCATCAAATTAGCTAGAATACCTTTAGAAACCAAACAACATTCAGGTCCAGGATCAGAATCAACTGGAGAGAGGCAGAACTGAGGACATAGGCTCTTTGCCAAAGGCTGGAGATATGTTTTCATAACACAAGGCTTCAGGTGATACTCTGCTTGTTCCTGACAAAGCAGGAGAGACAGTCCAGTGTCCTGCAGGGTTTCCAGCTGAGCCAACGAGAACTCCCCTCTTGGTCCTGTCTGGCCTCTTGATGTAAAAATATCACTGGGAACTTTCTTTTTCTGTCTCCGTGCTTCCATCCCTGTCTTATTTGTGTGTGAGACCAGTTTGTTGCTAGTTGTCTTCTAAACACCAGGCAGGACTCAGCCACTGACTGAAGAGAGGGCTGTGCCTGTGGTGGGAATATTGGGCTGGAAACTGGCCTGTGTTGGGTGCCAAGAGGAGCTGTGGGGATAACGGTCCCAGAGCAACAGAATGTTTCCAAAGGTTTAAAAAGGGTTTATAGTCATCGTTTAGGATCAAATAATCTTTGTGAAAAATGGTTTGTTTCCTCAGGAAACAAACAGTCTCTGGGAGAGCTTTCATATGCACTCCAGTTTTTCGTTTTATTTTTCTTTATTACTACTGCAGGGGGACACACTCGGCTGTCAGAGGGAAACTTTTGAGAGTTGGCTCTCTTCTCCCATGATGGGCTCTGGCTGTTGAGCTCAAGTGGTCAGGCTTAGGTGGTAAGCACGTTGGCCTTTGGGCCAACTCCCTGGCCTCCTGCTCAGTC